TGAGAACCTCTTCCTTTTTTGAAGGCGTTTAAAAAAGCTGAATAAGATCTTATTTAGTTTTTATTTATACTTAATATTTAGATATCCATTTATAAACGAGAATATAAATTTATTGGTTTAATTCAGTATTTGTTTCTCGTTTCTTTTTTTTATTTATTGTACAGAAAAACACAAATCACATTTAGTAAAACGGAAAACACAAACAAAAAAGAGGACTTTTAAATGTCAACCATGACCATGGGAACTGTAAAGAGCCCGAAACGTCGGTTTTTTTTTAAAAAACAAATATATGCGATTTAAATCCGGAAAAATAGTTTCATTTCCTAAAAAAATAGAAATAAATAAAAATATGAACATTAACGGGAAGTGCGTTCGAAAGTCTGACCGCATGAACAGTAAAGGAGTGAGAATAAAAACCGGAATTGAATGATAGAAAAGATAACTGTGACCTCGAGACAACGAGAGAGACTGGGACAACGAGAGAGCGACAGGGCTTATCCTGTAATATATATTATAACTTTTAAATCAATTCCACAATTTTGAATTAACAGTATTTGGTGCGCGACATATTGGTGAACAGATGATGCAAGTTTGTACGAAATTTCATTTCTTTTTAAAGTCATTCAACAAAGTACAGGGATGCCGTGCAGTTTTCGGATAAATCGAAAATAATCCTACATAACTGAAACTGTTCAACAGGAGTATCTCCAAACTCGAGTGGCGTCGGCCTGTCATGACCTTCCAGTCGCGGCAGCTCGTACAATGTGCAAACAGAACTCGGAATCTCTCGGAGAGTACTTCTTGCATGTACTCCACTCGGATACTACTCCGGAGACCATGTGCCGTATTATTGGCATGTGCAACAGTTTGAAACTTAACAACATCATTGATTTAAATGTAAGTTCATTCATTGTTATCTTGTCAGATTGAAAAATATTCATAACTTTCGTGTCGTTGGAAAAGTGTGTAAGAATATTTATTTTATTGAATATCATGATGTTTTGATTGATCGAAATCGATTGGCATAAAAGTCGTTGGTTCCGAGTCCAGCCGGAACGAAATAATTTTTCTTTATGTATACTCGATTTTAATGTCAATAATAAAAATAAAACAGTGTTCTACACACTATTTTGTTCTTATTATTGACATTAATATATTGGTTTTCTCCATAGTCAAAAATTTTTATTAAGTATTCAATCATTTTATACAGTATATTTCTTTTATTCTCATTCTGTCACTAAAAGCACTTACAATTACAAAATACAATAGTAAACCGGAAATCTCCCAAATTAATCATCAATGAAACAATGAGCGATTCTTTTCTCATGTCCATTGATCGTAATTGAAGTAATACTGAAACAGTCATTATGTTTCAGAAAAAAAAGCCAATAGTGGCATTGAAGCCAGAGAAAACGAAAGGTAAGTTTACCATAGATTCCCTAAAACAACTGTTGAAATCAAACAATCGAGACTGTAACACATTTTTTATTTCATTGTTATGAACACATAATGTATGATGAATAGTTGCGGTGTAGGTCAGAAAAAACTGAATCAATTGGACAAAAACAGTCATAACTGACTCATATAGTTGATTGATGAGTTATATGAACTAGTTCAGTTTTTAGCTTTGTTGCGAATGTTAAGACGAAATTAGGAATTTATACATGCGTAATGTCCATTCCCATTATATGATATTTGTATAGATATGACGTTTTTTCTCAAAACTTATACAAAATTTTATTCACTTGAAAAATTTGCATATTATAGTCCGATTTGTATTTAGATATCACAAGCGTTGTCCGTTTGAACAATAAAGTTGCTATGTTTATAATATGCCAATCACACCAATTGCCTGGTCTCAAAGGTTAAACTGATTGTTTAGTATAATCTATTAATAAATCGACTACAGTTGGGGAAATGTACGTTCTTTTTTTTGGGGAAATTAACGAGGTTTCATCCCATGCACTTTTTATGATTTAATGGGAAACGAAAAACCTTGACGCACGATGTTAGTGTATAGATAGTGTCTACTAAATGAAATTAAGTTTAATTACTCAATATCCAAAATTGCATCAAACTTCGTTTGTGTGATGCGCACTCGCAACGACTTTTATCTTAAAATACAACATCAGTTTCAGGTAAACTTGTTGGAACTTCAAAGTGCACATGGGGTCCGTCGTATTGGTGCAGTAACTTCAGGTATATATAATTTTTTTTTATAAGTAATCTACCATCAAATGATTATCACTAACTACAGGTTCCTTACCACGGTATGATTTTTATTTATTTTCCTGATATTTATTATATTTATATATAAGACAACCCGTGAACATGGAGCGCGTAACGTTTCCGAAATAACGGGAAAATAAGAAGAAACCTGTAATTATTGTTAATTATTTATAGCCTGTCTTTTTTGAAGACGGAGTAAATTGACATTTGAAGGGTTGCCAGTTTCATAAAATTGTAAAAAGTTATGTAGTTGTTGATAGTTTTTTCGATAGATTGTGAACGAAGATAAAATTTTGCCAAAAATGTCTGAATTGTGAATGTTACGACGGTTCGGTTCTAATGATTACTAATTGCGTTATTGTCTTCTTTATCCTTATTTTGACAGTTGGCCTACTAGTATCGAGATCAATTTTATTCGTATACATTTTAACAAGAATAGCCGGATTTGATTTTCTATATTGAATTAAAATGAAAAACTTTAAAATATGTCTCCTCTTCCTATTTTTTCATAGACATTGTTCTAAATACATTATATGTATATATGAACGTACAAAAATTGACAATTCAAATGAACTTGTGCTCAGTAATTAAAAAAATTAATAAAATCTAGAACAGTGCCCTATCTCAAGAGCATCTAATTCACCAAGAAGATAGTATAAAAGACCTGACACGTTTGAGAAACCTCTCAGGTTTTTTGAAATTGACAGATCGTAGACATCTCAACGTTGTCATGTGATTATTTTAGCCAATGAAAAGCTTTGCGTCCCATTCACAGAAAAATTCAGCGTTTTCTAAACAAATTTCAGTAATAAATAAAAAAAGAAAATATTTGAAATTGGGCCACTATTCTTGATAAGCAGCGAATTTTGCTCTGATCACCAAAGTAAGTAGCTAAAGCACTTGTGTTATGAAAATCGGAAACAACGACAGTACCACAAATACCCAGACCCGAAACAATTTAGAAAAGTTTGTTTCTGCATTGACCCTGCCAAGGATCGAACTCGGGACCTCCGAAATGGCGATAACATGAAAACCGGTGTGCAAGCCACTCGACCACGGAGACCATCAAATAAGTCTTCAAAATAATCCACCGACATATAGTGTATAAGCATATTATTAATTTTCCTCCTGTTCGTTAACTATTTTTTGAATAAATAAATTTTGTCTACGATTTGACAATCCTAAAGACCTTTTAATTGACAATAACTAACAATACAATACGAATAGGAAATCCCGTTACAAAACGTTAGTTTAGTCAATTAATTCCAAAGACAGAGGTAGCATTTAAGCGCGGTGAAAATTTGAATACAATATAATAATAATAAGTTCTTAGCCTGAGTGAGCCCCTGACCCGGCCGCCTGTGCCATTGCCGGGGAATAGCGCCTCTCACATTTAGAAATCCAAAAAATATCTTTAAGGCCTTAAGAGAGGCGAGAATCTAAAATAAATATAATAATAATAATGTGCCAAACATTATACGAATCGCCTGATATCAAACCAGGGAACTTCCTGTACTAAGAGTATCAGAGTAACGAAATTATCTCCGTGTGAATTAACTCAAAACACCCCTAAATTCCTATCATGATAATAAGGCAGAATTTAGAACAGAAAGCGAATAAACTTAATTCAATAATATCTACTTGTATTAATTAAAATAATTAAATATATGACTTAAATTAATCAATTCAATTTAATCAAATTAATATAGTCAATGAATATAAGATTTTAATTAATCAATCAGTATATTAAAGCATATTTAAAGTCAAATTTGCATGTTCTGAAACGTTCATAGCGTTTACCTCATCCAGCACCTGATTGATTCCGTTAACGAGGTCAATTTGGTAATCAATATAAACAAATTTTACTACGGAGTCACAAATTGCTAATGGAATATCAGCTCGCCTTATCCAATTCTCTTTGGACATTGTAATATTACGCCACATTGATAAGCGCGTCTCAGTAGTTTCCACCATGACCATTTCCAATGTCTTAAGTTACATAATACGCTATTGTTGAAGTCGGTCAGATTGTGGACAATTGTGTTTATGTAGGCCGATGTGATTTAGGGAACTACTATGCCGGCTACAAAAACCTACGAATCATAAAGAAAACTATAATGTTGGACACTGGATCTAGGATATGTAACTGTCGCTTTAATGTGAAAACCGCGCATACACCCTTCTTGATTACATACCGATTTTAACCGACTCAAAAGTGGGAAAAGTTCTCAATTCGATTGTATTTTTTAACCGACTTCAAAAAAAGGAGGAGGTTCTCAATTCGTCTGTATATTTCTTTTTTTTTTTGTACGTATGTTACGCGATAACTCCGCCATTTGTGAACCGGTATTGCTGATTCTTTTTTCGTTGGAAAGAGGGTACCTCAGAAGTGGTCCCATTTAAATTTGAAGAAAATATTCCACCTCTGCGGGTGGTAAACCAGGGCATGAATGACTTTTGAGGCCGGTTTTTTTAACCGGAGGTTAGGTTATTTATGTGTATGTTACGATTTGCGATTACTCGAACGAATGAAGTGAAACTATTTCGAGTTTTCTTTTTTTTTGTTGAAAATGATATATCTTCTTCATGAAAACTCTAATATGAATATTTGTCCTGCAGAAACGTGCGATTCTTGCCAGTCGTCTTCACAAACTTACATATTCATTTAAGGGGCAATGCATTTGCCATTTACGAGGGTTAATACTATAGTGAAACAAAAACTTTAAAGGTTATTATACAGCTACTGCGTACTTGGATGACAAAAGTCTGTCGTAGTGCCCCGTTTTGTTCCTGCAGGTACTCTCAATCTAAGATGTTTGAAATAAATACTGTAAATGATAAATGTATTCAAATGTATATTTACGAAGAGCATCCCCCTAGAGTTTCCTGCTCATTCCTCTCAGGGGAATCTGCCTTACGAATGAGCGGTAGAGTTTAATCAATATGACGATTTCAAATCTAATTTGCTTACCTACGAAAAGACGATTTTGAATTTAGTATATTTCAATGTCGATGCATAACATCACGCCCGTACTCCACTGGGATAGGCGTAGACTATAAATCTCCTCTCACTACGCGTCTGACATACGTCTTTCTTTTTCTTCACTCGCGTCAGACTGGGTTAAAAAATTTAATAAATGTTCTACCAATATGACTTTTCTCATTATCTCCATTAAAAAGATTGGTTTATTTGATTATACTGTTGCTATCTTTGTCGGCTGCAATACGAGGGCAAGATTGTGAGTGAGATAGCACGAAACGATTGTACGAAAACATTTTTGTGCATAATATTCATAACAATTCTAATAATATATATATTTTTTATTTGGTTCACAACTTGAAACTTACACAATACATACACATAACAAGCTCTTTAAATATACAGTACATTGTGTAATTCCTTATAATAGTGAACACAATATATATTATACACAATAAGTATTGAAAACTAGATAAAACTTTTTAATATAAGAATAATTGTTTCCGTATTTGTCGTGTTTCAAAATCAATAGAAAAATGTTTTATTGTCTTAACAACTTAACCTGATGTTAGGCTCTTTCTGGTCCAAAATTATGAGTTCTAGAACCCGTATAGTTTTGTAACTATGTTATTTAACAGAAAACTGACAGACTTTGTCCTTTATTCTCTAGGTCTGTTCAGTAAATTAATTGTACAGGACAAGTGCCTTGAAACAATAGAACTTGTTAGTGTTAACGAATAGTTTTTATATTTTAATGTATACCTATAGTTTAAAGACCAAAAAAAATTCCGTTCAAAATTAAGAACAATGAGGTAATCGATGTAACCGTTTCAGCGCGTGCAACATTGAACATAAAATGCATGCCGTTACGATGGAATTCACTATGTGATTTTCTTCGGTACATTATAAATTATACGTTATCATGCACTTTGTGTTCAATTTAACATGCGCTCAAAAACCTTTACCAGATTTTTAGGTCCTAAATTATTTTGGTTCATGCTCTCATATAGGTCTTATTGTTGTATTGAATTCGATTTTGAACCAGTCCTATTTATAATAATTGTTATTAATATTCACCATGTCACAGTCAAAGGTACAATATGTGGATCTTTTAAAACACTTCGTTCAATATTTGTACTAGCTGGTGCCCACTGCTCCATGTGCATAGAATAATAACATCTAGTAGCTTGTAGCCTGCTGTACTTCACGTATTTTCATAGTTATATTGGTTTTACATACGAACTTTTATCCCCTGTTTCACCTCTTTAAGGGTCGTATTCCAGAACTCTACTCAATGCTCAAGTCAGGATCTGAGTATGATTTCAAACACTGGAAATACGATCCTAATGGCAGGGACTTGAGTGTGATTTCGAGTGCTTTAAACCATACTCAAATCCTGACTTGAGCATTGAGTACAGTTCTAGAATACGACCCCTAAGAGTCGATACTACCTTAGCTCTAATTCAAATTTTTTCCGTACTATTGCGGTTCATTGTGCTGAGTCGCGCGGCAGGGACACTGGGTTTATTTCAGAATTTATTTTTTTACAAACAAAATTAAAGCCATTTGAAAAACGTAATATCGTCTACTATATGTGTTCTATTTAGTTCAGTTGATATATTTAAAAAAATGGTATATGCAAAGTACCTATCGTAGTACAGCAGTTTTCTTGTTCAAATTTCGAGGTAAGTTTGTGTTTTTTTTTCTATCGTGAATATTTTTAGGAATCGTGTTACACCGTATATTAATCAGTGTATATCATTAACTTTACTATAATTTTCTCAAAAGTGATTGGAAACACTTCCATTGTTATGCTGAATCAAACAAAGCCTTTTGAGGTTCGACTCCCAAAATTTATTATATCTGTTTTAATTTAGGTAATATCTAATATCAAAATATAATATACTAATATAATTTGCTATCACACAAAGCGAGTACTTTAATTAAATTTAAACATATAAAGAACATGAACCTACCAAATTAAAATTTAGCAGACAGATCAAGTCTTCGTTCTGAAGCGGTATCAGTATGTAAACCGCTTCCACCTTCGTGACTCACGGATATGACGTTACTGTGACTATACCGTGGGAGGAAAACCTGTGTGATTTTATACAGTTCGTAGCATACTTAAACATCCGGTCCGATTATGACGTAGGTAACTTAATTATGTTACACCCGAAGGTGTTACTGTATGATCACATTCATTAACTCTAATAACTTATTTTCCTTTCTGAAATCGTTTTAGTAGAAATACTTTACTATATATATATATATAATAGTATATAGTAGTATATAGTAGCAGTATAGCTCCTTGTGACAGAGTTCGCCCAGGCAAGTACTGCCGCCAAGCAGTAATGTCAGCATTACTGTGTTCCGGTTTTGAAGGGTAAGGGTGCTGGTGAAATACACGCACATGGAACTTGTCAACTTGTCGCTGGGTGACGGGCGCATTGGCAGTGCCCTCAGATATTTGCGATTTAAAGCTCTTGAGTGGCACTGCAGCTGTTGTGGACAGGCGTGTAGCTTACCATCAGAGGCACGACTTGTTGGTCTCGTCACTTGATATTATGTAAAAAACAAAAAACTTAGTGCACCTGTGGGAATCCAATCCAGGGCCCTCTACATAGGAAGCAAGGTCTCTCCTAACTAGAGATGAGGAGGTTTTAACTGGGGTTTTAACCAAAACTTTTAACACATTTCTGGTTACAAGGGTTTTAACACATTTCTGGTTACAAAGGTTTTAACACATTTCTGCCCAAAATCATGATCAGAAGCGCCGAATACGGACATTGGTATACTTCCATACTTAATACATTTCGATGTTAAATTTTTTTTTAAACGAAAATGAGGTAACTCCGCACAATACCTTGCAATTCTGTGGATTCCATGTGGTTTCTCACTATTAAGGGTGCAACTCGATTACGGTACGATTCGATTTTCATGAAAATCGATTAATGTTTATACGATCTAACGTTTTTTTTTTCTATCGATTCAATAGAAGGGCAAATCGAAACATGTAGATCAAAAAGCAATAAACTTGTGTAATAATTTCATTCAATTTGAACAAAACTCTACTTACAACACATATTTAGTTGTAGATAGGTTTTGCCCTCTATTTTAGGCGTTAATGGATTTAAACCCGATTTAACAATACGCCGGGTCAAAACCCGGATCATGTCCATCTCTGCTCCTAACTAGTGTATCACTACCATTATTATAATTGAAATTTCCTTTACTTTAATTTTACATAATCTGTATTTTTAAACAACCGACCGGATGAGATAAAACAATATCAATACAAAAACACTTGCATATTTGTCGAGGTTGAATCCATAAATTGTTTTAAAATAAATAAATGTCACCTTTTTGTATGATTTGCTGCATAATTACTAAAAAATAATTAAATATTGATTAAGGTAAATGGTCACTTACTACGTACTATATAAATAAATCGATCCATAGCTGTTAATTTTGATACTGGCAGTTTTTGGTGTTACAATTACCTTTCAAAAGATCACATTGTGTAGATCTTTGAACGAGAATAGGTGTAACACCTTTAAATGTATAAATGTCGCGCAGTTTTATTATTTTTGCCCTCTAGATTACTTAAAGTAATTCACCGAGACAACACTGTATATTAGGGAAATCAAATAGGTAAATCTATCATCATCATCTCAGCCCGTTAATACCCACTGCTGGGTATAGGCCTCCTCTCTTGCACGCCAGCTCAATCGGTGTTTTGCGAGTCTCGTCCACAATCTTCCGACGAAATCGTCCGACCATCCAGCAGGTAGCCTGCCTCGAGAACGTCTCGTTCCTACCGGGTACCACTCAGTGACCGCCTTAGTCCATCCGTCGTCGTCCGGCCTAGCAACGCGTCCGGAGATAGGCAATCTCCATTTGAGGCTCGCGATCCGCATACCGACGTCTACGACCCTTGTTCGCTGTCGTATCTCCACGTTGAGTATTTGTAGGTAAATCTAATTCCAAAAAATATAAATATAAATCATACTTTTAAAAGTCTTTGAGTGCAGTATTAATTACATATATACAACGTATCTATGAAGCAAAATATTCTAGCTATAATATTCAAAGTAGGTACTTTCCCTCTGGTCTTTAGCCGTGAGACGCCCTGCATATAATATTGAATTATGTTATTTTCAGTTTTTTTTCCATTTAAACTAAAGGTGCCCAAACTTTTTTCTCATTGCCCACTTAGGCAAGATCAAAAAAAAATTCAACGCCCACCACGCAAAAAATAATTGAAAACGTGTATTTCTTATATTAACTTAACACAAAAAAAACAAAGAAAATAATGTATACGTGTAGTGTAGGTTATATAGATAATTCAGGTTTTATTTATCAAATGCGGTAGCATCAACTACAGAACGCCGCCCAATTGTTTCCGAAGCCCCTACCGCCCCCATAAGACTGACTCTTCAGCGCCCACTGGGGTGCCACGGACCGGGACCACGTTGGGAAACAATGATTTAAACCATTAATTTCCACACACATGAAATATATAATAATTATGCCCCTTTATGGTTTTAATTGTGGCGTCGCAACACACATGCTAATGGTACTCGTATTTTAATCTTAAGATCACTGTGCATCACCTAGAAGCAATAAATACTTTGACTTCGTTTTTAAAACCGAGTAAGGTCGTATATTTACACAATTATGAGAGAAATATCAGAACTACAGATAGTGAATGAGACTTAATTATTACAGATCCCTTTTATAAGCAATACGCAATATTTTTTAAATAGTATTAGTAACATTTTACCTTTGCTCAAGTGATAATGAAATATTTGTGAATCTAGTAGCAGTAGAACTCCTTGTGAAGAGTTCGTCCTGGGAAGTACTGCCATCTTATCTATTTCTGCCGCCAATGTAAGCTGTGAGCATTCTCGAGTTTCGATCTAGAAGGATAAGGGTGCTGGTGAAATGTGTGACGGACAAGAAGCAAAACATAAAAAAAACCTTTTAACACCTCCACAGTACCGGCCACGAATGTAAAGCCACAAAACACTGCGTGGAGCGCGTTTGGCCGAATCTGCAGGTGCCCGAGGACAACGACTCCGTCTGCCAGATCTGTTTGGACATGGTCAAGCAGGCCAGAGACCAGTTGGAGAGTAATGAGACGCAGGTATGATTATATATACTGTGTAGGTACTCTCAGATAATATGGTACACTATATTATATACAGGGTTATTTGTAAAACAGTAACAACCTTGCCGGACTATATTACTAACATCTTAAACTTTTTACATTAAGTCTTTACAAAACATAATAAATATACTAAAAATAAACTTTTAAGTTTTTGTTGTACTATTTGACACGTTTTAGATCTTCATTTGGTAGTAAAGGTAGTAAGTTCAATCGTGCAAGCGTCTCCTCCTCGATGACCCCCACCAGTAGCAGTAGAGCATTTAGTAGCAGTCCTGGGAAGTACTGCTACTTTACCTATTTCTGTCGCCAAGCAGTAATGCTCACATTACTGCGTTCTGGTTTTGAAGGGTAGTGGAGCTGGTGAAATTACAGGCATATGGGACTTGTCAACTTATGTCTCAAGGTGACGGGCGCAGTGGTAGTGCCCTTCAGATCTTTGCACTTTAAAGCTCTGAGTGGCACTGTAACTGTTATGGACAGGCGTGTAGCTTACCATCAGGCGCATGACTTGTTTGTCCCGAAAAAAAGTCTAATTGACATTGTATGCTATTTAATATATGTGAAACATGTTTGTACTGGCACAGCCTCGTGTTACATCTTTCTTTATAAAGAGCACATGGTGTAACATGTTTTAAGCAAATAAACAAATTATTATCATTATTAAAAGTGACGCTGCAACTACGCTTCTAAATATTGTATGAAAATTAGTAGTGGCGCCAATGCAGAGCTTTATAAGCATCCAATTTGAAGGCAATCCTCCCCATCTTTGCGGTTTCAAAGCTCTTAGTGGCACTGCAACTGTTATGAACAGACGTGTCACTTGTTCGTCCCGTCACTTGGTATTATAAAAAAGACCCCGCTCTTGCGTTTTGTGTCGGACTGGTATTTACGCTGGCGCTTTCTTTTGTTACCGCACATAGTTATCATTGTGTACTGCAATCTATTTAAATATGTTTATTGTTATGCTAAAGTAAAATCTGGTAAATTATTAAAAGTTGTTAGTATTTTACAAATGACCCTGTCAATCCTACTTTAAATTAAAAGCGAATATTTCTTGTTGAACTCTAATGTCTGGAACAATGTCAAAAAGAATTATATCTAAATTCATAAACTGTAGTTCGTGAGAGTATTAAGTAATCGCATTCCAGAGGAGGTTAACTCGACCTGTAAGCTAACAGACATGTACCGGCCTATCTCCGGGTCACTGCCCGATAACTGATGATCCAGTACAATGAAATCAAGCGTTGTTATAAAAATACGCTTATTAACTTTCGCCTCCTGCTAATATAATAAATAATATAATAAAAATATTTACTTAGTATCTTTAGTGTAGTTGTTTTAAAATTTGTATTGAATTGATATTCAATTATTTTTTGTGTAATTTCCACTAGTTTGTTATAATTATTAACACAAAGATCGAATACTCAGAAAACATCCTTCGATCATGTAGTAGCTTTTTTTTAAGGTTTTTATAATTTTGTTTGGTATTGGAGGCAATAAAGAGACATTTTACTTTTATTTATTATTTTTATTAATTGTTATCTAATATTTGTTCGTATTTTCGACGCCGTTGACTTTGAATTTAAAAAATCGCATAAGTATATGTATAGAATTATTATCCCAAACTCGCATTAGGCCAGCGTGGTGGACTATGGCCTAAAACCTCGCCTGAGTTGTCCCGTAGAACAGTAGTGAGACGTGTAAATTGGTTGATGATTTTTTTTAATGAAAATGTAATTGTACATTTGACCTTCACCTCACCTGATGGAAAGTGACGATGAGGTCGACACTGGAGCATGTACACCTAAATAATGCCTATTCACTCTCGCCTTGGAAAGGCCCAAGTTATAGCGTTCAGGGAATAAGTCGAATCGCTTATTTTATAGGAAAATAAATTACACTTAATATCTAAATGTTTGAAACTCTCATGGTCATTCGAGAAACAATTCCGCTCCAGAAACGTACTCAAGAAATTTTACTTTTCAATTCTAAGAAATTTATAATAAGAACCTGCATCGGTTACTTTAACACAGTCTTATCGAGTTATTTCGTTCCAGGAGGAACTAAAAGAAGTATTCGAAGGTTCTTGCAAGCTGATCCCGATCAAGATCGTGACGAAGGAATGTATCAAGCTGGCGGATGATTTCGTCCCTGAGTTGGTTGAGACCCTGGCCTCGCAAATGAACCCAACGCAAGTCTGTTCCGTCGCTGGACTTTGCAATAACGCCAAGATCGATAAACTGCTCGAGTCTTATGTAAGTGTCATAAATAATTTTAAACTTGAAATTATACTAGTGTTAGTTTACCCAAAATCTGAATGTTTTATACGTTAAATAGAAAACTACTCACCCATATTATCTAAGCTCTTCTCCTTATCTCAACGATAGAAATATACTAATGATTGGAGATCGTCAAAATCTCCTGTATGCTGCACTATCATTTGATATAGTGATGACATCATTGATGTAGTGACAAAAAAAACCGACCTCAAAAATTCGTGGAACTACATCTATTTGCCAAGTTTTATTGAAATCGATTACCGGAAAGTGTGCGAAATCGGATTCATCCCCTAGTTTGCCACCCTTAGAGGTTTTCTTCAAATTTAAATGGGAACACTACTGAGGTACCTCTAGATACCTCTTTCCAACAAAGAAAGAATCATCAAAAACGTTTCACAAACGGTGCACCGGAGTTATCGCGTAACATTCATACATAAAAAAATACGTGGAATTAAGAACCTCGTCCGTTTTTTGAAGTCTATCAAAAACTACTTATGGTACCATAATAACATGGAACTGCAGCATTTAGGGTTTGTTTCAAATATTCGGCTTCAAAATGCTGGAATAATATTCCACCACCTATGCATACATTTTATTATTATTTTTTCGTTTCCCTATGTACTCATTTTCGTAACCTTTTTGAAAAATATTTAATTTGTTTATTTTATTATATATATTGAATATTTATCAATGATATTTATCCATAGTTGATGACATGAGGCTATCAGCGCAAAAGTGGTGTAACCCAAATTTATTTTCTACAAATATTACTTTAAGTACATACATAACTATTATATAATATTTGGATGCTATTTTCTGTATAAAAAATAATTATTAATATACATATATTGATCATTTATGATTACTATATATACAATGAATTTGGCTAATTTAAATCGCTCGTTATATTGTATGTGCATTTCATAAGGTTACCACTTCTACACTAATAGCCTCAAATACACTATGGCCTAAAATAAGTTGTAATTGATTTACAGAACGCACGACTAAAACTCCGTGAGGGCTGCAACAACTGCCACAAAACTGTTGGCGTCATGAGAAAAAGGTTTGACTCTTCGAGCTACGATGACTTCCTCATTGGGCTTTTGAAGGTAATTAATTCTTAAATATTGTACTAAATCTGTTAGAAATCAATTGTTATTTTGGAAAAATGTGTGAAGTCACTTTAGATGTCGTCAACCCTGCCTGCAGACTTGACATATGAATTGTGTAAGGTAATGGGATTTCTGCGTAAATAAATAATTTAATTAATTTAAGTTTCTCCAAGGACATGTGAACCTTTTTCGAAGTTTATCGCTACTAAACATTCTCAATTGAAACGCGGTTTGGCCTTTCACTATGCTACCACAGCTCTATTTTTATTAGTAGTTACAAATACTGGGCTAATGTATTATTTATTAATTTTTTTCAGACTTGCGGCAAAATGGGCGGTTCTTTCTCCGATTCCTGCTCGATGTTGATCTTCAAGTACTACGAGAACATTCTAGAAGCCGTAAAGAAAGACCTCACACCAAAAAGTCTTTGCCACTTGAGCGGTCAGTGCTCTTTCCAGTACCACGAGCACGATGAGTTCACCTTCCCTGTAGTCAAGTTTGAGGAGCTTAAAGCTACTGAGTGAGTATATTACTATACTGTCCAGCTTGGTACTTTCATCTTTTTAACTAATATTGACTGATCACAGGGCTCTCTAAAATAGTCTTCAAAAATGTGCAACAATTATGATAATAATAAAATACGGGGTGGCCCACGTCTATGGGACATTGAGGGAAAGTACTATAAATATTGTAGATAGGATATTTTGCTTCAAACTGGAAACATTATTTTATTTTTAAAACTAAATAATACTGCATTCAAAGTTTTTTGAAAATTGCTTGTCGTATCTGGGAATCAAACATACTCAATGTGAACAAGAAAGAACATTCCGTATGTTTATGTAACTGCCTCCATGGCCGAACGGTGACCATTCCGGACTGCCACGCAGAGGTCCCAGGTTCGATTCCCAAGTGAAATATTTGTGTGGCCTACATTTATTTCTCTCGTGAGTTTGGGTGTAATTTGTGGTTGTCTTTGTGTGTGTCCATAGCACCCGCGACACATGATTTCCCTAGCGCGGGGCCATATTGAATGTGTGCTTTATTATTATTATATTGCCGATCGAAAGAATCAATTGTGTCGTATCTGGCCACAAAATCGGGATCAAAGACATTTTTTGTGTCGCCATTTTATCGTGTCATAGATGTCATTCGTGCTTCACTTTTGTTTTCTTGTCTTCGTAGTACGTTTCATATATTATTGGATGTTGTTGTTAAAGTTTTTGTTTATTGGTGATATTTTGTAATAGATCATTAATATTGTAGAAAAAGCGATATTATATTATAGTATATTCTCTATTCAACATTTATATATTATTCTAGAGATAGTATATTCTCGTTTGTAAAAGGATAATTAAGTGTTATGTACAAATAAACATAATCTTTGGCTTTTATTTTTCTTTTCAAATTATGTTTATTCAATTCCACAATTTTGAGTTACGACAGTATTGGGTTTCATGTGCAACATATTTAAACGTTATACAAGAAAAGAAAAATATAACTAGGCCTTTACCCGCGATATTCATTTTCAAAAGTTACCATTTTGACACGAATTAATTTTTACTTTAAATATGTTACGTTTTGAATTTATTTATTACCGTTTTAAGCTGATGGCTCTATAGCCAATGCTATATAAATAATATAATAACCTCTACCCGCTGCATTTGTTACGTAAATGTAAATCACTTATTTTACTTACAACAGCGACGTGCCGTGCGAGTTTTGCGAACAGCTGGTGGTGCATCTCCGCGATATGCTCACTGCTAACACCACCGAATTGGAGTTTGAGAAAGTTTTACGAGGTAAAACGCATTCATACATTAGCCCTTTCATACATTATAAAACTTTGAATAGTCCAATATCGTTTCGGTATCTCAATTAGTCGTAGTTATATATAAGAACCTCCCGCCTTTAGCGTGACTATGATCATGAACATAAATCTGTTATAAATATATTTTAATGAAGCCGTGTTATCCTAATGGTTTGACTTATCTTACAAATATATTTCAATTATAATTTTATCTTTCTAAGTTCGCCACAAGATTACAACTTTAGTGGTTATAATTGAGCATTCATGTGAAGTACTGGCCACATATTTTAACTTGAAAAAAGTTTAACTTGAAAAAAGGATGACTTCAATCGTCTTTTGATTTCGATTAAGGCTGGTTTCAGGGCAGTGCGTATATATCTGCGGACCGCCCGCACGTAGCACCGGAGAATAGTAACACGTGTGGCGTTCTCAAGGTGAGGGGCGTAGTGGTAGTCCCCCTCAGATCTTTGCGATTTAAAGCTCGTGAGTGGCACTCCAACTGTTGTGGACAGGCGTGTAGCTTACCATCAGGCGCATGACTTGTTCGTCCCGTCACATGATATTATAAAAAAAAGCATCGTTTTATCGCTCCGCGTGAACTCTGCACAAGACACATTTGCTTCCATTGCAGGCAACTGTCTTCCATGAATATCCGCACTAAATTAAATACTCGATTCAGATCAGCTGATTCTACGCATGCGGATAGCCCGCAGGGGAACAATCCATACGGACCGTACGCACAGCCGTGAAACCAGCCTAAAGGTTCTGGTATTATGTGGCCAGTTGTTTATAATGAACGTTGTTATCACAAATCAAGCTTTTTCTAGTATTCCTTCAAATATGGCCACGAGTATAGTTCATCATTAGTGTTATAAACGAAACTTCTTTAAACAGAGATGAAATGCTTTTGAAGAAATTGTTTTTTTTTTTGGCGTCTTGACAATATTGACAAGAGTCTGACTCTGAAATAAGATGATAATGACAATGTTTTGTATTTTTGTTTTGTTACATTTTTTGGTTCATATTAACTTTTATAGTTTATATTCCTATCTTTTAGTCCCTTCGACAGGGTATGTAGTCATTGTTAATATACTTTTTCGAGTTACAGTATTATTACAGTATCTATAGTTTATATCTATAGTTTAATTTAGTCTAGCAAAGTTACGTTACGTAAATCATTCGCAAATCAAAAATTACGCAAAATGTCCAATGCTTATAAAAACTAACGAAATCTCTTTCCCACAGCCCTCTGCAAACAAACGGGCGAATTCAAAGAAGAATGCCTGCATCTAGTGGATGAATATTATAAATCAATCTACAGTTTTCTCATGGTGGACCTCAAACCTGATAAAATCTGTGAACTAATGGGCTTGTGCGGTAAAAAGGAAGACGTGCCGGTTGCACCATTGATTCCTGCGGAGTTGGCTGTTAAGATCACACCGTCCTCGAAACTTATTGGCGCTGAGGAGACCAAGGTATAATATATCCATTAAACTTAGCATGAGCCCGAAGACAAAAGTTAATTCTTCTTCGAACTGTTAATATTCTCGGGATTTTCGATAGACAATTGACAGTTCGAAGAAGAGATAAGTTTTGTCGCATAATATATATATATATATATATATAGAAGAGTTCATTCGCTTGTAGGGAATTGAAACAAACCAATTACGCGGCTTTAATATCACGTGATATTGGACTACTAAAACTGACCAATGACATGGCTTTGAACACTTACGATAACTACCGACTGCTTATTTAACGTGAATGGAAGAATGTATACCACTTGTTAAATGTGCATGTGCGGCAAGAATGAAGATTTATCAATTGTTCCATTGATTCCTGCGGAGTTGGCTGTTATGATCACCCCGTCTACGAAACTTATTGACGCTGCGAAGACTAAGGTACAGGGTACAAGTTGTCGAGTGTTAGGTAGTTGTCTGCAAACCTATTCTCTCCTCCTTATCATAATTAACGTTATCGAGCGAAACTGAGTTATTGCCATATCTGGAATCGGTGAAATAAGATCTAGAACTTCCCTTGTAGCGGTTATTTAATACCTTATTTAGTTTCAGTTTTATTGTTAAGCAAAATCTGCCTAATTAACATTGTTTTAGGGCACGTATTTAAATGATCATTTTTAATTTTCAAAAGCTGCAGGCAAAATATATTTCTCTTCTGTTTTTTTTGAAGACGGGAGTAAAATGACTGTTCATTGTGCAAAAGCGTTGCCCGCTTGCGAGCAGCTAATGATTGCAGTCGATAAATATTCTATCGACTATCGACTTAATATTGGACACGCTTATGAAATAAACAGCCGAACTTGTTTCATTTGAATCATCCTCGATCCATAATTCATCCAATTGCTCAGCACAAGTTCTTTTTCTTTCCCGGTTTTGTAGGGTAAGGACCCTTCAAAACCGGATTTTGTAGGGTAAGGACCCTTCAAAACCGGAACACAATAATGCTGATATTACTGCTTGGCAGCAGAAATAGGTAAGGTGGCAGTACTACTCGGGACGAGGAGCTCTACTGCTACTAAACTTTTTTAAGCGACAATAAAACCTTAGTTGCCAATATCACGAAAGTTACCAAAATGCAAATGCGTTAGTTATGACAAGTAGAACACTATTAAAGGGTTGTTTGGTATCGCAAACAATAAGTTTTTAACAGGACATAAATGTGAAATTTCTCCTACTAGTTTGTTATTATTATTGATACAAAGATCGAACAAACACAAAGAAAAATTCGGTCCACCTGGATTCGAACCAGCGTCTGTCACCTCAACGTGGCTACTATTAATCTACTTGCCATTGCAAAATTGCTTCTTTTATTAGTTTAAGTGGCATGTTATCGATTTTTCTTGGGATATATTTCAGAGAATGTGCCGTTGATATGGTACCAAACATTCGTACCACGCCCTTTGGTTCCCATATCTTATATGGCAATGAAATACACTACATCTGTTTCCCGCAAACTACATTTTAAGGCTAGAGTTAATAGGCGCTTTTTAGATAATCGCGGATGCATCGTCGTTTAACATCAAGTGATATTGTCGCCACGCGTGTCTATTTTATATTGAAAATCCTCCTGCATCGGTCCTTCACTGCTGACGATCGCCACTTTGAACAAGTACACCGTCAATGAATTTTCTCCACTGCACTGTGTTCGGCTAGGTGGAGTGCGATATTCACCGGTACTGCCAAATTTTCTGATGATGTTGTTTTGTTAACCTTTTTTTTTATATACTCGTATATGAATTTAACACATCGGTCATTGACTTACAATTATATGGACGTCGGGTCCGCGCTAAAAAGTGTCCGCACTTGTAAGGCGCTAAAATCGTATACAGAGCGCCAAACTCCGCTTTAGTCTTCATTTGTTCTACTGACAGCGTGATATTGCGATGACATTACAATTTAAATTTCGAATAGGTTGACTTGGGACATTTTTTACGTGGTTTTTGTATTAGACCCGTCGTCCATTTATTTGCAAGTCAATGACATCGGTAGAATGATACAAGGTACTATTCAGCATACAGGTGTTGGGACAACTCCCATTTATTTTGATCAGTTCCCCGAGTTTTACTTTGAATTTTAAGTTTAATTCCTACGTTTAATCTGTTTGCGGTACCAATTACACCCAAAAAAGCCTTTAAGAGTTGAATAATCATTTGCCGTAACGTATAACATTTGTGAGATAATTAAGAGACCTCATGGGAACCGTGCGTGTCACTGGATTGAACTTTTGAAATATTGTTAATTTAATGTTACTATATTTCTTAGGTGCTTGTAACTTGGTGACTAACTTGAGTTGATTAACTAATTTGGACCAGGATCATGGTCTTTGCTAGCGGTAACATTTTGTAGTTCCAATTAATTATACGCATGACAAGATAATTACCCCGCTTTTATATATTAATTCCAATAAATGTATTACGAAAACTTACAAGTAATCGTTGGATTTAGCACTATGTCGATGCTGAAATACTCTAATTAAAAATCGGAATAGATAAGATAGCAAACTGACAGTAACTAAAGTCATTTTGAAAAATAATGTTGCCATGTTTATTGTACGTTGAAGTGTTTGGTTCGGTTCTCAACTGACTGAAACAAATATAGTGTTTGAAACTGAAAAATTTTGAAAAATTAATTTCATTTCCAGGCTCTAGTTTAAACACATTCCCACCCACTACCTATGGAACAAGTCTTTATTGGACCCATCAGATTACGTTATGTTAACAATTAATAGTTTTGACATAATTATCTTTTCGCAGATCGCTCATATACCAATGAAGCAAGAGAACGTCCGCATCGTGGTCGAAGACGCAAGCGTGGCTCCGTTGCCGATCGAACGCATGTTCGTCAATCTGCCAACCAACCCCGAGGATGGCAAGGTCATTTGCCAGTTCTGCCAGTACTTTTTGCATTATCTACAGGTTGAAATCAGCGACATCAAGAATGAGGTGAGTGTACGGTATGAATTAACTTAATGAATATTATTTAAAATTAGTTTGCTTAATTTTTTTAGCTGAGCATTAAAGAAATTCCATAAAAAAAGAGATTAATTTATTTTTTGTTTATTTGAGTTGAGGAAAGTTACTTCGATTACGTTACAATATATTAATTTATTTTATTTCAAAAACTCTTCTATTTTCTATTTCTTTCAATATTTCGCTTTTTTAGTAAGACTTCTTTTTTAAGTTTTCGAAGCTAATGCTAAACATACAAATTCATTAGTAAGTTAAAAGTTAAAATAATATTTTCAAATTAAAAGATTTAAGAATTAAAGTATGAAGAATATAAATTTGACAACATATTGTTATTATCATATAAAATGTGTAACCATGTGGTTTGCAAAATAGGTCTAGAATGTTTTTCCGTTGGGTATCTTAGAAACAGATAAACTCAGGAAAGGGGCAACAGCCCTGTGTATTGTGCTGATAATGGCATTGAAGATGCCCGAGGATGCGCGTAAATTATCGCATAGTATTATCAATAGTATCTTGGTGTTCAAAATATTGTGAGAGTAATGAAATGCTGAATGCCCATGTTACAGGAGAAAATCAAAGAAACAGTAGAGAAAGCATGCGACAAGCTACCCCAATCGATCAACGATCAGTGCAAGGTGTTTGTATCTCAGTACGGCCAGCAGGTCATCGCTTTGCTTGTGCATGAGATCGACCCGTCCAGTGTGAGTAGACATTCTGAACAACTTCTCCTTATGCCTCCTGTTATTACTTATTTTTATGCCATTTTCTTGAGGATGGAAAAAATTTGCTTTATACATTATTGTTCACTCTATATTGGAATTTCTAACTTTATTTAATATCTTTTGTATGCATTGACTTACCAATAAATGGACGTCGGGTTCGCCCTAAAAAGTGTCCGCACCTGTAGGGCGTTAAAGTCGCATACAGAGCGTCAATCGCGCAATAGTCTTCGTTTGTTGGAGTGACAGCGCGGTTGTCAATCATGCAGTACCAATAATAATTACTTGTAAAAATTACTGCAGTGAAGTGTGAAAACAGGATTTTGTATCATATTTTCACTAAGAAAATATATTGTGTTATCATATTTGTCATTTAATAGTGTTATTTTGTGCAGTTTTATAGTATTTAATTTATATATAACTGATTCGTAAATATAAATTACAAAAGCACATGAAATTTTTCTACTCATTGCATGCGCAAAAGATGGAAAGAGACCCATGACGTCAGTTTCAAGAAGCTTATGTAAACTTCTTGGTCATTTTCAATTGGTCGAACCACAAGCGATTGAAATATTTAGAACAAAGAAACTGTAAAGTTGCTTTGATTTTAATCCTATTTTTAAAATGATTTTTTTATTAAACGTTAGCAATAACTAACCAAATATTGTTGTACTTGTTTTACGGCATGGGATTACCTATTAGAAATCAGAAAATACATTTGCCCGAAATAACATTAGCTCGAATTTTCATAATGTGTTTTTATGAAGATTACAATACAAAGGCTAATTTTGTCTATGTAAAAAGCATCAAAATGACACGAAAGCGTAACGGTTTTGTTATAAATCGGAATTACGGATATTTGAGTTTACGTTTAGTTAGAATATCGGTACATTTCTTATAGTACACGCTTATTTTCACATTTGTAGTAATAATTGTATGTATGTATCTGCCCAACTCTTTATTACACCTTTAAGTGAATTTATACAAAATTCGACATAATAATATATATAAAAAAATTAATTAATATTTACGAGAAAGGCTATTCCATTCCTCTTGTGTTCAAGTAATTTTCAGTCGAAGCTAAATATGGTGCATTTTGTTAAGTTTCCAGTAGAAGCTGAATATGGTGTTTTTGGGCCCTTAAATTGTTGTAAGCAAATTTAGGCAATACTGCAATGACGTTACAATTTAAATTAAATGTTTTAGTTTTTTATATTTCGTTACATGTCACTACGTTTGTATAGGTTAACCTCGGACATTTTTTCGTGGTTTTTGTGTTAGACCCGATGTCCATTTGTTGGTAGGTCAATGTTTGTATGTAATAAAAATGGTACCTCATGCAAAATATGCGTTTAATAAACCTATACTTTGGAGACGAAAGACGTAGAAGCCAATTTTACAAAACAAGTATGAATGTAGATGGGTATTTATATTTACGTTTGCTCTTTCGATTGTCTCCTCTAAGTCTATATTTACTTAAAAAATTCGATATTAATATAAAAATGATGTAAATCAAAAGGTTTCTAAATATTTATTTTTATTCTTGTAAACTTTAAGCGCTTATCATTAAATATCTTGGGTTTCTATGTAAGTGGGGGTCTTTTGACAACTTGAAGTAAATAAAAGAGACCGAACAAACTTTCCAGCGACTCTCGAATGTAAATTGAAAGTCTATATTTGTGTGCAGGTGTGTCCGGCTCTAGGCCTGTGCCCGCAAGTGCACGAGGTCCGTCGCGTGAGCATCAACTCGGACAAGTCCAACTGCCCGCTCTGCCTCTTCGCGGTGGAACAGCTGGAGACCATGCTCAAGACCAACCGCACTGAGGTATATAACATTTGTTTCTATTAACTATTACTTAGCTCGAATACACTATAGTTATATGTATGAATAACCGAAATGTGATAATACATACGAACGTAAGAACGCACCCTGAAGCCATCTAAAATAGCTTGCGCTTTTATCCAGTTAAAGCGTTGCAATAAATTATAATTAATCTCCATACTCTAAGAAACTGACAGCAGTAGGACTTTGCACGACACACAGCGTTTTGTTGTTGCGCGTGTTTTTACTCTTAAAATCGGACATGTCTCTATTTACACAAGAATCAAAGAGAACGTTTCATTCCCAATGCACGAGTAAAACTCCCACAAATCTCACTACAATACTTTTTGAAAAAACCTCAACCAAAATTTATGTCCCGTATTTGGTATATTTTGAAAATACAATTCTAGTGACCAAATCGTTGCAGCCAAGTAAATCGCATATACACCCTCAACTCATATCGTTGGATTGGGTTTTGACAGGCCTAACCTGTAGGCATATTATGAAAGTTATTGTATTATGTAGGCATATTATGAATGTTTAGTATATATAACGTTATGCGCGCCCTGGGGCCTATATGAAAGGCGCAATACGCGCCAGAGCGCGCTGGCATGTTATAGGCTGTAAGTCGCCATTTAGTAATTTTCTTTCTGGCTTTCTTATATGTTATTATAGTCGATCTTTTTTTTGAAAATGGAGTAAAATGACAGTTAATTGCGCAAAAGTGTTGCCCGCTCTCTAGCAGCTAGTGATTGCAGTCGATAAATATTTTATCGACTATTGACTGAATTTTCAATCTTTGTAATGTCAATTTTTGTAAGTTCACAAGTACATACCTACAGGCACTGCATTTAGAAGTATATCTTTTCCAAATAAAAAAAAGGAGACATATTTTAAAATTTACGATTATATTCATCCTACAGATCCTTGTATTGGGTATTAATGACTTTTTTGCCGTAGAAACTTATGAAAGTTCCGTTTACATCTACCTAAAGACTAAACAAAATGTCGCTACGTTAAATGCAATATTTGTTTTATTGTATATCATGGTGTTCTTACAGCCATGATAGTCATATATTTTTTGTGATTCGTTTAGTTTGTTATTATTATTGATACAAAGATCGAACAAATACAAAGAAAAATTCATACAATCCAACTGGTATCGAATCATGCGCTGATGATGCGTCCATAACAGTTGCAGTGCCACTCAGAATTTTAAATCGCAAAAATCTGAGGGGCACTGCGGCTGCGCCCGTCACCCTGAGACATAAGTTGACAAGTCCCATGTGCCAATACCACGGTACGTTCTACGCCAGCGTCGACACTTCCTGATCACTCTACATCTAATCCGCACGGAGGCACTAAGGCGGACACCATTCTACGAGGCTCTAGCCTTGATAAAGTCTTTAAATGGTATTAATGATACAATCGTGTTCAATAAGTCTCTGACATCGGCTGGTTACTACTACTATTTAGAAACGGTCACCACTCAAAGCTGTGTGATTGAAATTCAGCAGCTTGCTTTTGGGCGGTGATTGACTCAACCCTAGATTGACTATGTCTTACATATTTAGTTTTTATTACTGTTAGTGTAAGTTGTATAATATGTATACATTATTTACAGGCAAGCATTCGTAAGGCATTAGACGGCCTCTGCAATCATCTATCTCAGAAACTGCGCACGCAATGCGTTGACTTCGTCGACACGTACACCGAACAATTAGTCGAGATGTTAGTTGCAAATATGAATGCACAGGAGATTTGTGTCTTCCTCAAACTGTGCGTTGACGAGGGCACTGACCCGTTGAAATTAAAGCATTCCAATATTGATAAATATCATGACAAACCAGCGTTGCGTGGGGACAGAAATAATCACAAGCAATCTCTGTTGCCGAAGCAGTTGTTGGTGGGACCTGATGGTGACATTGGTAAGTTACATTCAATTTTCGTTATTATGATTTAAGTAAAATTACTAGATGTTAAAAGTGGCAACCCTGACTAAAAATTACAATCATTGTCGACGCAATAATTGACGGAAATAGTTCATGATAATTTTAGGCTATTAAATAGTTTGACCTACTGCCTATTCGAGCAAAAGCCGTGGGTTCAATCCGGACACGCTTCTCTGAGTTTTTCGGAATTTATGTGCGAAATTTAATTTGAAATTTACCATAAGCTTTTCGGTGACGGAAAACATCGAAATGATACGCGCATGTCGAAGAAGGTTCACAACCTTCGGTAAACGTGTGAAGTCCTCAACCCGCACTGAGCTAGTGTGGTGGACTATGGGCTAAACTCTCGTCTGAGAGGAGACCCGTACCGTAAAATTACTAGATATTGAAAGCAACAATCCTGACTAAAAAATAAAAATCAATACCCACGCAATTATCCATGGAATTAGTTATTTGGATTTATGTTATGTTTATTTATATTATATGTTATATTATATGTTATGCTATTTATTTATGGAATTAGTTATATGGAATTATAATAATAAAATTGTAGGGTGTGTAGAAGACAGTCAAAGCAATCATTGGTGTAAAAATCACGAACTAATACGGAAGAATATTGCTTTAAAAAGTCAAAAAGGAGAAAAATGAGAATTAATAACTTCTTAATGAATGAAGCTATAATAGTTGCAGCTTTAATCAAATCGCAAAGATCTTAGCGGCACTACCACTGCGCCCGTAACCTTGAGACGTTTACAAGTCCAATGTGCGTGTAGTTTCAACAGAACCTTTACCCTTCAAGTCTGGAACGCAGTAATACTCTCATTACTGCTTGGCGGCAAAAATAGGTATAATGGCAGTACCTCTTCAGACGAACTCTTTTCACAAGAATGAATGAATGTAACAATAATAATGATCGCAATCTAGGGATACCCTGTACTATGAGAACCAAAGCAACGAAATTTTCTTCAGGGTGCTACCCAAAGCAACCAGACTAGAACTAATTTTGAAAAGTTCGTTTCTTAAATTATCACTACCGGGAATCCAACCCGGGACCTTCTCATCTAGAGCCCATAGTTCTAACCCCTATTCCATCGATATCGTCAATCGAAGGGGTTCGAATCTAGATTCTGCTAGTTATTTTGCAAATCTTGATAGATTATTTATTAGATAGAAACAGATACTAAAATGTAACGTGTCCAATGTTGATAGAAACGAACGAGATCCCGGACAACACAGTGAATGGCCGTCCCGTGAAGCCCGACGTATCACAGAAGACAATCTGTGTCATTTGCGAGTTCGTCTTGAAAGAAATTGATGATGAGATTAAGGACAAACACAACGAGGTTAGTAGACCTTAGTCAAAGCTATTTGTAAACAGAAATAAGCCTTCAACTTAACCTCATATTAATAAATATTTTCTGCAATGACTAAAAGCGCCTTCAAATTGTACGCTTATAAAAGCACTGCAGTGGCGCTACTACTAATTTTTGCTTATATTTTTGAGTTAGTAACCATTTCATTAATTTAAACTTAACTTCGTACTCATTTAAAAGACCGACAACTTATATTTACCTATTGTTATGGGACATGTAAAAAAAGAGGGCCCGAAACGTTGATTTGTTTCAATAAACAAATATATGCGATTTACATCTGAAAAGTAGTTTCAGTACCTACATGTGACAATCGCGAAAACCTAAGATCTCGAAAATTATTGTAATTAAGTTTTAAAGGATGTTTCAGCACCCTGATATTCAATAATTTTATGTGAAATTCCTTCGTACCGGCTGGATTCGAACCAGAGACTTCTAGCCAACCGTGCTAGACGCTTTGTCAACAAAGTCGCGGACGAACCAGCGGACCTTACGATTTTTCCTATGAGCTTGTTGCAGATCTTTTTGCAGAGTTTTTGGTTTTTAACAACTTTTTGCCGTCGCGCCATTTGTGAACGCGATGGTTACTAAAAATAATCGAATTATTCGATTATAAGCATAATCGAAATATTCGATTATAAGCATAATCGAAATA